AACCAAAAAACATATTGGTTAATACCAAAACCAAACTAAAAATACTAAATACCGATTGCACCTACCCGAATCCAAATTTTTGTGTTGGTTATCGGTTATCCATTCTGGTAACCACCCGAATGTCCACCCCTACTAGTGATCTAAGGGAATCTCTAGAATTTCCAGCCCCACCATCAGGTCCAAGTTGTGATCCTACTGTGAACTTGTCACGTCAGTTGTAAAGGCTGTATCAAGTGCAGATGTATCCACTCCCATCCCTGATATGTCTGATGTAGTGAATGGAAAATGGCCGCCTGGTGCTGCTGAGGTGGGACTGACGGGCATATCTGACATAAATGACATGGCAGTGCTAGGGGGAATAGAATGGGCTACATCACTTGCATTGTTGTCCATCGCCAAGCTACAATAAGAAGAAAAGCAGCTATTATCAGCTTAACTTCTATGAAACCAAAGAAAAAAAAAAGGGAAAATCAAAGAGGAGCGAAGAAAGCCAGAACAAGATATATGCAAAATCAAATAGAATGAAGTAGAAACAACAGACGGAATATTAGGTATCTAAGGATTATGGGCCTAAAACAAACTGAGAGGAGAATGATTTTTTTAGCTAACCCCAATTCCCCAACTGGTTTTGGATTAACTGAGTTGGATAGGAGTTCTATTGTAGTGCCATAACCTCAATATAACCAGAGATGTTGTATAAGTAAGATAAGAGGGAAAAGGACTTGGGGCCATCAATTGTTCATTAAGCAACTGCATATGATCAAATTGAAATAAATAAACAGATGGCTTGACAACATGAAAATAGGAGATTCAATGTGTAATCAATTAGGAGAATGAAAATAGGTCGAGTCCTCACTCGTTCCCAGAATTCATTTGCATAGGTTGGATATTGCCTGGTGCAGGGACTCCATTGACAACATGACAGCTAGATATTCCACCGCCCATAGGATCAAGATGTGGTTGACCAGGAGCAGGAACCGAAGGCTGTTGTAGCACAGGGTATCCCATTGGCAAATTGTTAACTGCACTGAATAACCAGAACTGAATAATAATGACAATGATATAGAGCATTAAACAACCATGAAACCAACTCTTGCAATGAAAATTCATATTTTAACCATTTCTGATTTTGGTCAGCATTTTCCAGGAATATATTAAATAGCTCTAACTCATGTCTTACCTTGGGACCAAACATTATACAATAATACCATGGGCAACATATGAAACTCTAAGTTTAAAATTCAAGCACCTCCACATATATATTTGTCAACTTTCATTTGATTGAATACCTTTTATCTTTTGCAGGCTTGATAGAAGCCATTTAAGCACTCTCCAAAAATATACTAGAGAACCCATATTGATTCCTTTACTATAAAATTTTAATCAGTGCATTTCCATTATCCAGTGTTAAGCCCAAACTCACCAGGCATGGGATGAATCCCGTTCTGTATTGGGGCCAAGGGAGCCTTAGAAGGTACAGGGTATTTCATGAGATGATATTGATGCTCAAGCAAATTATTGAACAAAACGATTTGCTTTTTCAATTTCAGCCTTATGTAATAGGCCCTGAAAAAATCAGCATTTTCCTCTTCCAACTTCTGCCACACTGAACAAAGAAAAGCCGTTAAGATACATTCAGACAAATGTTGCTGTTGTGCTGTTGAACACATAATATTTTGGATAAACACCCACTTACGTTAAAAAATTCAGGTCATATGGCAGTAGAAACATTTTTGTTTTGTTGTAATAACATGTTCTATTCTACTTCACTGACTGCAGCCTTTACTGAGAATTACAGCTTTTAAAAAATAACAATGAATGAAGGAAATACAAACTTATTAACAGATTATAAAATGGCCTACCCAATGTTGTAAACCCAGGGTCTATTCTTGCCCAAGTCAAGAGGATTTTGACCACCTCATCTCTATTCATATACAACTGCAAACACCGTTCTATTAAATTCTGGACCTGTAAAAACCATTTCAAAGAAATTTCCATCACCAGCAATAATCAAGAATCAATGAAAGCAAACAATTACATTAAGAAAACATAATAAAATCAGCAAATAGATAAACCCCAAGAAGATATTTGCACCTCACAAGTTCAATAACTTGGCGTGAAACTTTTCTGTTATCATTGCTTGAGCCTCTTCTGTTTGATTATTCTGGTGGTCATTTGTGATTCATGTGAAGCTTGAGAGGATTTTACTTCTTGTGTGCTCTTTAATCCAAAAGACATGCTCTTTATCTTAAGCGATAAGCACAAATATATGCTATGCAAGCTAGTGATTAACGGGCCTTTGATATGTAATTTCCAGGAAGTTAGACTGCTAGTAGGCTATTTTAAGTTTTTAACTGTTAAGTGCCCTAATATATACCCATACAAAGAGAAATAATAATAAATGTAAAGGAGAGGGGCCAAAAAGGCACAAGATCCTGTGAGAAGAAGAACACAATAGACGCTAAAAAAGAAAACGGCAAAAGGAAACCAAGTTGAGATCTAAAGCAACCAAGGCATGATTCAGTTTTGAGCTTATAGTAGTGAAGAGTGGTGTCACCTGAAAGTGTGAGACTCAGTGATGAAAGCAACTACTTAAGTGACTGAGGAAAGAAATGGATTAAAAAGAAGAAGAAAAAGGAACCTGTAAGTTCTTCATTCCAACTGAAAGTCAGCTGCCTGCATCTCTTGTTCAGTTCAGATGATCCACGGATTCAGCTAAAGTTACATAACATACCAAGCTCAAAATCCTTGCACCTAAATCTATTACACCCATAAATTGAGTCCAGCACACCTGGAAAGAAATTGTAAGGCATTAAAAGCTTGGTTAAGCAAACTCGACCTCATTAAGTATACTCCATTATAAACTTTTGACAGGTAAAAGTAAAAACTAAGCAGGACATTGACCAGAATATTATAGAAAGTTATAGCGGAGCCAAAAAATTAAAAAAAAATCATATTATTGGCTTTGGTCAGGATCTCCGTAAAATTTCCTCATATAAAATTCCTATTAACAAAAAAGATAGTTAACCATTGAAAACATACCAAATTTTACATTTTCTCTGTTTTTCCTAATATATATGTTTGACTTCAATAATAACTAGCATGAATGCATACCCCAGTGATGAAGATACGAAGGCTTTAGCTTCAAATTCAGGCAGTGGCAGTTAAAAATTATACAATAACAAATAAATTAGTATATTAGCGACATTTAAAATATTTCTTGAAATGCTGCTGAGGCAAACTGAATTTGATCAAAATATTTTAAATAAAAATAAATTACATGTTCATTTAATAAAATTATATTAAAATTTT